GTGATTGTATTGTGTTCTTTATTCATGAATAGGTTAATCATTTGTCATTTCATTGCCACTGTTTTATTTTATTCAAATACAACATTTGAATTTGACAGAGACACACACACACACACACACACACACACACACACGAGAGAGAGAGAGAGAGAGAGAGAGAGAGAGAGAGAGAGAGAGAGAGAGAGAGAGAGGCTGTAATATACAGTCAGTACAGCTGTGAGCAGATACTCAGACACAGGAGTCCACAGAGCGGAGACACAGAGGGAGGAACATCAGAAACAAATACTGATACGGTTGGTGTTCTTATTTATTTTTTAATATGACATTTTTAAAACATGTGTTGTAAAGTAGGGGCATGGACTTTTAAAGCAGTGGGCATTTAACCAGCAGGTTAAGTCTAATGAAATTTTTTTTTGAGTTGCATAAAATTTGAACCGGTCACAAAGGACCACACGTTGGATTTGATCCCATAGCTGCTGCAGCTTCAATTCAAATCAGATCTGAATTTGTACAGGTAAATGAAAAGACGATCAATGTGGTGTTTAGAATTTAAAGTATTCCTGGAGTGTGTTTATTTTTTTCTTCATTTAAAAATAAAGATATTCTGAATTTAAATTAGACTAGCTTTTGAAGCATTGCTAAAGACAGGTTATGCTTTCCTAAAGGATAAAGCCCATGTGCATGTAGAGATGCAGCAAAGAACACATATTGGGATGAATATGTTGTAAGATTTAACCTGAACTTTTATCATAATGTTCCTGTGACATCTCCGCATATTGTTCACCCTCTTCTTTTTTCTTTTGGACATTGGAGGGATAAATAATAAATAATAATTTTCAGATAGCCCCAATTAAATTTCCATACACAATAACCATTGATGTTAGACCATTGATTTAATAGATATGCGATAGAGGTAATTTATACCATTTTCTCGGTTTCATAATCATGTTGCTTTCTCTTCCAGATATGTCGTTAAACTCCTCCTCCTCCTCCAATGACTCCCTTCTTCATCAGAACCATTCCTCCACCAACTACAACCTCCTTTTTGGAATGTATTGCATCGCCACCAGGCCAGGCTCCTTAATTTCCACCTCGTACTTCATCACAAACATCCTCCTCCTCCTCCCTCTCTGCACCTTCATCCTCTACCTGCGTCTTCAACGATGGCGGCAACAGCGCTCCACCTCCACAGCAGCAATGACGAGTCATTCAGACGCCTTCACCTACCACATGGTCACCATGGAGCTGATTGGTGTCTTCGGCTTCTTCCTCAGCTGTTGTGGTATCTATAGTGATCATATTGGTGTATTAATGGCAGGGCACTGTCTTTGGACCTTCATCTGGTTTGGACAGATGTTCTTTCACACTCTGACCTGTGTGGAGCGCTACCTGGCTGTTGTTTATCCAATCACCTATTTGAGCTTGAAAAGAGAGAGGGGGATCAGAATCAGAAACATCAGCATTGGGTGTGTTTGGCTTCTTTGCTTTGGAGGAACAAGTCTGATAACTTTAGAAAACGCCTCCTTGATTGCGGATTTGTGCATCTCTATCTTGTCCTTCTTTGTCATCTCCTTCTGCAACGTTTCTGTTCTCTGCATCCTCATTCGTCCAGGGCCAGGTAAACAGGGAGGGGACAGGGAGAGAGTTGACAAATCAAAGCAGAGGGCTTTCTACACCATGCTGGCCATACTGGGAGCTCTGTTGTTGAGGTGTATTTGGAATGTGGTTTGGTTTGCTTTTTATATCATGACAGAAAATAGTGAGTGCGTGTTGATGATGTCTGGATTGTGGTTTAATCTGCCCTGCAGTCTGGTGTTACCTGTGCTGTATCTTCACAGAGCAAGAATGTTAGTGTGTTGTAAGAACAACACTAAATGAGGATAAAGACAAGATTCAGTTTTCATGACAAGAAATTAGTTCAGCTACAAGGAATTATAAAAATGGAGAACAATAGTAATTGAAGCTGCCAGCAGTGATGAGCCCTAGTAACTCATTCGTAAGCATTACATGTTTAGAATTTTTTGGGATATGGGTCCAAGAGGCTTTTCTGTACGTCTAGACATGGTCTACGTCTGCACCAATTTTCCTCTCCAATGTGACTTATTTGGCCTCATTTGGGACCCATAGAATAGTGCATTTCCGCTAGCGCCAAATTCTGTGCCGCATACAATGAGTTACGAGATGTTCGGCACCAAATTGTAGATGGATTTCTTTTCAGAAGGCAGGTCCTTGCTTCTTACTGCACAGGCCCTAAATATACCCTTAGATTATAAGGCCACTGATAAGATTGATTGCTGCTCAATTGATTTTTGGACTTAGGGGCAAAAAATTCTTGTGTGGTTTGCAGAAAACAGTTGACTTAACACCTAACCCTGATTAACCACTGAGAGTAGAGCTGCATAGTTGGGTGATATTGCTCATTTTATTGTTAATATACAATTTTCTAGTGGGGGTTTAACATTTATTTAGTATTAGAGGTTTTGCACCAATATTGGGCTGAGTAGATGAACAAAGTAATAACAGTTCAGAGCCTTGCTACCAGCTCTGTGAGGCTGTAAATGCTAACACCGGCATGGCAACATGGATATGATAATGCTAACAATGTTTAGCATGTTCACCATTTTAGTTTAGGTTGTTGGCTATTTGCTAACTGTCACAAAAAAAGCTCTGAGGCTGATCACAATGTCATTCAGTGTGCTGGTTTTTTTTTTTTTTAAATGAAGAAATAATGAAAGTGAAATTTTGACTGGATGACTAAATTTGATTATTCTAATTTCTTGATGCAGATTAAGCGTACCACTAATCGTGTAGTGTGACTGTGAAAGCAAAGAAACGTGTCCATGCATTATTAAATCCTCTCTTTGTTCAGAGACTTTACCTGTTTTTGGAATCTTTTTAAGTTTGCATTTTATCTTCTTCTGTAGTTTAATTATTGATAAGCAGTGACAATCCCACGAAAGAATAAAACATGATTCTATAGATTTTTACGCCTTTAGTGTGTTTTCTCTTTAATTAGTTCAAGTTGCTGCATCAGCTTCCTGTAAAAAACACATTGTTATGTAAATGTCAGATTTCATGTAATTGATTCTTCACTGAACAATCATGATTAAAGAATTATGAAATGTTGTTTGACTGATTTCACTTTAATATACTTACATGGTTTTATGTGAAAACATTGCTGCACAGCAGACAAAACAAAAGCCTAAACTCTTTCAGCTTTATGAAGTGTGTATTTCAGGTTTCATTGTTTTATGGGCTGTTGATTTGTTGATGTTGATATTTGAAAGTGGTTCTCATGCAAATATGAATTGTGTGGAGGAGTAACTGAAATATTTTAGTATGTATATTTAAGTATGTATACATATTAACTTTAAACTGTCTCATGTTGTATAGCAGTAGAATTAATGCTGGAATACATTTATATTCCAATCTAGATGAAAACACACCAATTTTCTAAATGCTGCACTCATTTGAATTTAATGGTTTAATTTGATTTAAATACACACATACTTTGTATTCACGACATTTGAATGCTTTCAGCTGTTCTTCTAATGGGCCGATAAAATAAACTACACAGGCCATCCAAGTTTGGTATCAAATGCTGTCACATTATTTCAGAATAATTTTTAAAATAACATGTTAAAAAACTACTTTCAATGAAAAAAAATATCAATTTCTAATGCCACCTTTAGATATTTCCAACTAGTGTTTTACTAATGTGCCACAATAACATCATGTTTGTTATTTCAAATATCTTCATGTGGAAGGAAATTGTAATATATTTGATTGTTTGTATTTTAAACTTTATTCATTAATAGGTTATTCATTTGTCAGTCAGTTCAGAGCCACTTTGTTATATTTTATTCAAATACAAGATTTGAATTCAAAAGGGAGGGAGAGAGAAAGAGACAGAGAGAGAGAGAGAGAGAGAGAGAGAGAGAGAGAGAGAGAGAGAGAGAGAGACACACAGAGGGAGAGGCTGTGATATACAGTCAGTACAGCTGTGATCAGATACTCAGACACAGGAGTCCACAGAGGGGAGACACAGAGGGAGGAACATCAGAAACAAATACTGATACGGTTGGTGTTCTGATTCTTTTTTAATATCGTCATTTTCTTGAAGCCTCAATAATGTGTGGACAACTGAAATAGACAGAAAACAAACTTTATTGCATCATCGTGGCACATTCAGTACAGTATTCAGTTGTACAACGTCATCTGTGATTCTGTATGAGAAGAACTCAGGGTTTGGCTTGCGACTACAAATTTGACTATTTGAAAATGTGTGTTGTAAAGTGGGGGCATGGACTTTTAAAGCAGTTGGCATTTAACTGACAGTTGCATTTTGGAAAATCCATCAAATTTGAACCTTGACTTTTTCCCTTTCTTAGATAGGACAGCTGAACATAGACAGGAAAGGGGCTAGAGAGAGAGATCATACACAGCAAAGGGACACAGGTTGGATCTGAACCCATAGCTGCTGCAGCAAGGATTCAGCCTTTGTCATTGTAGAAACTTAAATATAAATCAGATCTGTATTTGTACAGTTAAATAAAAAGACAATGTTATCTTTATGGTTTTTAGAATTGAACGTATTTCTGCAGTGTATTTATTTTTTTCTTCATTTAAAAATAAAGATACTCTGAATGTAAATGTCATTAGGTTTTAAAGCACTGTTAAAGACAGGTTATAATAATAAGGATAAAGCCCATGTGCATGTAGACATACACTGAAGAAGACATTAAGATCTGAGGATGAAGATTTTATGAGATTTAACCTGAACTATTATCATAATATTCCTGTGACGTGTCTGCAGGTCATCACATTGTTCACTCTCTTCTTTTTTCTTTTGGAACTTGGAGGGATAAATGTTAATTATTTCCCCAATTCAATTTCCCTTTACAGTACCCATTATTGTTAGACCATTGATTTGATACACACGGAATAGATGTAATGAATACATTTTCTCAGTTTCATTATCATGTCTTTTTCTCTTCCAGATATGTCCGTAAACTCTTCCTCCTCCTCCAATGACTCCCTTCTTCATCCTCACCATTCCTCCACCAACTCCAACCTCCCTTTTGGCATGCATTGCCTCACCACCAGACCAGGCTCCTTAATCTCCACCTCGTACTTCATCACAAACATCCTCCTCCTCCTCCCTCTCTGCACCTTCATCCTCTACCTGCGTCTTCAACGGTGGCGGCAACAGCGCTCCACCTCCACAGCAGCAATGACGAGTCATTCAGACGCCTTCACCTACCACATGGTCATCATTGAGCTGATTGGCATCTTAAGCTTCTTCCTCAGCTGTTGTGGTATCTACAGTGATCATATCGGTGTATTAATGGCAGGGCACTGTCTTTGGACCTTCATCTGGTTTGGACAGATGTTCTTTCACACTCTGACCTGTGTGGAGCGCTACCTGGCTGTTGTTTATCCCATCACCTATTTGAGCTTGAAAAGAGAGAGAGGGATCAGAATCAGAAATATCAGCATTGGGTGTGTTTGGCTTCTTTGCTTTGGAGGAACAAGTCTGATAACTTTAGAAAACGCCTCCTTGATTGCGGATTTGTGCGTCCTATCCTTGTCCTTCTTTGTCATCTCCTTGTGCAACGTTTCTGTTCTCTGCATCCTCATTCGTCCAGGGCCAGGTAAACAGGGAGGGGACAGGGAGAGAGTTGACAAATCAAAGCAGAGGGCTTTCTACACCATGCTGGCCATACTGGGAGCTCTGTTGTTGAGGTGTATTTGGAATGTGGTTTGGTTTGCTTTTTATATCATGACAGAAAATGGTGAGTGCGTGTTGATGACGTCTGGATTGTGGTTTAATCTGCCCTGCAGTCTGGTGTTACCTCTGCTGTTTCTTCACAGAGCAAGAATGTTAGTGTGTTGTAAGAACAACACCAAATGAGGATAAAGACAAGATTCAGTTTTCATTAAAAGAAATCAGTTCAGCTACAAGAAAATATAAACATGGAGAAGAAAACAAAACTATACCGTAAGATTACAAAATGATGATAAGATTGCAAATGGCTGCCCAAAGTGACTTATTTGGCCTCTTTGGGGCAAAATATCTTAAAAACAATATTACTGTCTTGTAGCTGGTTTGCAGAAGGCAGTTGCCTTAACACCTAACCCTGATTAAACCACTAAGAGTAGAGCTGCATTGGTGGGTGATATGGGTCATTTTTATTATAATATTTATCATAATATACAATTTTCTAGTGATGCCTTAATATTAGAGTAGATGAACAAAGTAATAACAGTTCAGAGCCTTGCTACCAGCTCTGTGAGGCTGTAAATGCTAACACCGGCATGGCAACATGGAAATGATAATGCTAACAACGTTTAGCATGTTCACCATTTTAGTTAAGGTTGTTGGCTATTTGCTAACTGTCACAAAAAAAGCTCTGAGGCTGATTTATTTATTTTTTTAAATGAAGAAATAATGAAAGTGAAATTTTGACTGGATGACTAAATTTGATTATTCTAATTTCTTGATGCAGATTAAGCGTACCACTAATCGTGTAGTGTGACTGTGAAAGCAAAGAAACGTGTCCATGCATTATTAAATCCTCTCTTTGTTCAGAGACTTTACCTGTTTTTGGAATCTTTTTAAGTTTGCATTTTATCTTCTTCTGTAGTTTAGTTATTGATAAGCAGTGACAATCCCACGAAAGAATAAAACATGATTCTATAGATTTTTACGCCTTTAGTGTGTTTTCTCTTTAATTAGTTCAAGTTGCTGCATCAGCTTCCTGTAAAAAACACATTGTTATGTAAATGTCAGATTTCATGTAATTGATTCTTCACTGAACAATCATGATTAAAGAATTATGAAATGTTGTTTGACTGATTTCACTTTAATAAACTTACATGGTTTTATGTGAAAACATTGCTGCACAGCAGACAAAACAAAAGCCTAAACTCTTTCAGCTTTATGAAGTGTGTATTTCAGGTTTCACTGTTTTATGGGCTGTTGATATTTGAAAGTGGTTCTCATGCGTAGATTAATTCCTGATTGTGGAGCAGTAACTGAAATATTTTAGTATGTATATTTAAGTATGTATACATATTAACTTCAAACTGTCTCATGTTGTATAGCAGTAGAATTAATGCTGGAATACATTTATATTCCAATCTAGATGAAAACACACCAATTTTCTAAATGCTGCACTCATTTGAATTTAATGGTTTAATTTGATTTGAATACACACATACTTTGTATTCACGACATTTGAATGCTGTCAGCTGTTCATCTAATGGGCCGATAAAATAAACTACACAGGCCATCCAAGTTTGGTATCAAATGCTGTCACATTATTTCAGAATAATTTTTAAAATAACATGTTAAAAAACTTACTTTAATCATCCATTATGGCCACATTACAGACTAAGTGAGGCTTACTTTCAATGAAAAAAAACATTAATTTCTAATGCCACCTTTAGATATTTCCAACTAGTGTTTTACTAATGTGCCACAATAACATCATGTTTGTTATTTCAAATATCTTCATGTGGAAGAAAATTTTGATATATGTGATTGTTTGTATTTTAAACTTTATTCATTAATAGGTTATTAATTTGTCAGTCAGTTCAGAGCCACTTTGTTATATTTTATTCAAATAAAAGATTTGAATTCAAAAGGGAGGGAGAGAGAAAGAGACAGAGAGAGAGAGAGAGAGAGAGAGACACACACACACAGAGGGAGAGGCTGTGATATACAGTCAGTACAGCTGTGATCAGATACTCAGACACAGGAGTCCACAGAGCGGAGACACAGAGGGAGGAACATCAGAAACAAATACTGATACGGTTGGTGCTCTGATTCTTTTTTAATATCGTCATGTTCTTGAAGCCTCAATAATGTGTGGACAACTGAAATAGACAGAAAACAAACTTTATTGCATCATCGTGGCACATTCAGTACAGTATTCAGTTGTACAACGTCATCTGTGATTCTGTATGAGAAGAACTCAGGGTTTGGCTTGCGACTACAAATTTGACTATTTGAAAATGTGTGTTGTAAAGTGGGGGCATGGACTTTTAAAGCAGTTGGCATTTAACTGACAGTTGCATTTTGGAAAATCCATCAAATTTGAACCTTGACTCTGAGCAGGTATTGAAGTTGGGATATATCAGTCTCTGCTGTATACAATTCATACTTTTAAGGTTAATATAATATTTACAGTCACCAGTTAGTGTTTTGGTGCTGAACAAGTAGTGTACAATATAGTTTTGGGGGCTTTTTCCCTTTCTTAGATAGGACAGCTGAACATAGACAGGAAAGGGGCTAGAGAGAGAGATGATACACAGCAAAGGGACACAGGTTGGATCTGAACCCATAGCTGCTGCAGCAAGGATTCAGCCTTTGTCATTATAGAAACTTAAATATAAATCAGATCTGTATTTGTACAGTTAAATAAAAAGACAATGTTATCATTATGGTTTTTAGAATTGAACGTATTTCTGCAGTGTATTTATTTTTTTCTTCATTTAAAAATAAAGATACTCTGAATGTAAATGTCATTAGGTTTTAAAGCACTGTTATTGACAGGTTATAATAATAAGGATAAAGCCCATGTGCATGTAGACATACACCGAAGAAGACATTAAGATCTGAGGATGAAGATTTTATGAGATTTAACCTGAACTATTATCATAATATTCCTGTGACGTGTCTGCAGGTCATCACATTGTTCACTCTCTTCTTTTTTCTTTTGGAACTTGGAGGGATAAATGTTCATTATTTCCCCAATTCAATTTCCCTTTACAATACCCATTATTGTTAGACCATTGATTTGATACACACGGAATAGATGTAATGAATACATTTTCTCAGTTTCATTATCATGTCTTTTTCTCTTCCAGATATGTCCGTAAACTCTTCCTCCTCCTCCAATGACTCCCTTCTTCATCCTAACCCTTCCTCCACCAACTACAACCTCCTTTTTGGAATGTATTGCACCGCCACCAGACCAGGCTCCATAATTTCCACCTCGTACTTCATCACAAACATCCTCCTCCTCCTCCCTCTCTGCACCTTCATTCTCTACCTGCGTCTTCAACGATGGCGGCAACAGCGCTCCACCTCCACAGCAGCAATGACGAGTCATTCAGACGCCTTCACCTACCACATGGTCATCATTGAGCTGATTGGTGTCTTCGGCTTCTTCCTCAGCTGTTGTGGTATCTATAGTGATCATATCGGTGTATTAATGGCAGGGCACTGTCTTTGGACCTTCGTCTGGTATGGACAGATGTTCTTTCACACTCTGACCTGTGTGGAGCGCTACCTGGCTGTTGTTTATCCAATCACCTATCTGAGCCTGAAAAGAGAGAGAGGGATCAGAATCAGAAACATCAGCATTGGGTGTGTTTGGCTTCTTTGCTTTGGAGGAACAAGTCTGATAACTTTAGAAAACGCCTCCTTGATTGCGGATTTGTGCATCCTATCCTTGTCCTTCTTTGTCATCTCCTTCTGCAACGTTTCTGTTCTCTGCATTCTCATTCGTCCAGGGCCAGGTAAACAGGGAGGGGACAGGGAGAGAGTTGACAAATCAAAGCAGAGGGCTTTCTACACCATGCTGGCCATACTGGGAGCTCTGTTGTTGAGGTGTATTTGGAATGTGGTTTGGTTTGCTTTTTATATCATGACAGAAAATGGTGAGTGTGCGTTGATTACGTCTGGATTGTGGTTTAATCTCCCCTGCAGTCTGGTGTTACCGCTGCTGTTTCTTCACAGAGCAAGAATGTTAGTGTGTTATAATAAGAACAACACTAAATGAGGATAAAGACAAGATTTAGTATGCATGACAAGAAATTAGTTCAGATACAAGGAATTATAAAAATGGAGAACAATAGATAATTGAAGCTGCCAGCAGTGATGAGCCCTGGCAGTCAACTCATTCGCCAGCATGTCATGTTTAGACCTCACCATGAAATTTTCATGTAAATCAGATCCAAATTGCTAAACAAGGCATACTTCTTCCATCCAGTTTGAGGTGCTATGAGTATGTAGATGTCTTTAGGGTGGGTCTCTTATCAAACATGTGAAAATTGGTAGAGTTTGGACAAAGTACACAGAAATTAGAATAATGTCCTGTTTCTTGGCGAAAAAAATTGATTTGTGATGCCATGCTACAGACATAAGTCAGACTAAATCTCAGGACTTTGATAACTTTTCATCATGAACTTGTTAAGAGTGTACTGAACAATTTTGAAGTTGATCTTATCAATTCTGTGGGAGGAGTTCGTTTAACCCAACTGTGACCCATAGAATATGTACATTTTCGCTACCACCAAATTTTGTGCTTTATTCCAGGAGATTCGGAGAATGTTGCAGCCGCCAAAATGCGATGTATTTCTTGAAATAATAATAATTCTTTTAGATACAATTGGGTCCTTGAAGTTACTACATGGGCTCTAAAGATACCATTAGATTACAAGATGATGATAATTGCAAATTGCTGTCCAAATTGATTTCTTTGGCCTCTTTGGGGCAAAATATCTCAAAAACTATTTATGTCTTGTAGCTGGTTTGCAGAAGACAGTTGCCTTAACACTTAACCCTGATTAGACCGCTGAGAGTAGAGCTGCATAGGTGGGTGATGTTGAAGAATGTTTAGCAGGTATAATGTTGACCATGTTCACCATTTTAGTTCAGCATGTTGCTGATTTTCTCAAAAAAGAGGCTGATGACAATGTCATGATCAGGTTTTTGTTTTTTAAAAAATAGAAAAGTAGTGAAAGTGAAAATTTGACGAAATCACTAAATTGCTAATGCTAATTTCTTGACGCAGATGAAGCATACGGTAAGCAATCGGCAATGGTGAAAACAAAAGAAATCTGTTCACGCACTATTAAATCCTCTTTTTGTATGAAGACTTTTCCTTTATTTTGTAATCTCAGATAAGACAAGATGTTCCTTTATTGATCCCCCTTAGGAGAAATTAAAGATTGACACAGCAGCACAGGGACAAAGTAGTGCAAAAGAGAGTACAACAATACAAAAAAAATACAACACAAAATAAAATATTACAAAATATAATAGAAAATATAAGACTCTAAATGAAAGTATATACACTTTGCAATATTCAAGTAGGAATGGTGTGCAAATATATGAGCAGAACATTAAACTTGACTAAAACTAAACTGTGCATGTGGAAATTAAATATAAATAGTGCAAAAAATCTGTGCGTTGTAGGTTGGAGTTTAAAGCAGTCTTAGTCTGCGGGGTTGGAGGTACTGGGTGCTGTGGCCTTATGAAGTCTGGTCTAGCTAGCCTAGCTATGGAGACTGAAGACCAGTAGCTATTGAGGTTTAGCAAACTGTAGAAAAAGTGGCAGAAATCTTATATTGTACGTTTAAACTGCTTGTAGAAATCAAACCCACTAATTATTGTCCAACTCCTTGTTGCATTGATATATATATATGTGTATGTATAACCTGAATTCCTGCTCTTAGGCTTTTAAATTCGGTTTTTATCTTCTTATGTAGTTTCATAATTATGGATCTCATGAAAGAATCAAATATGATTCTATAGATCTTTACACCTTTAGTGTATTTTATTTCCCTCTGGGAACTAAACATGTTATTATATCTTTAATTAGCACAAGTTTCTGCATCAGCTTCCTGTAAAAAAGATACATTTGATGTAAATGTTTCTTCACTGAATAATCATGATTAAAGAATTATGAAATGTTGTTTGGATGGTTTCATTTTTATAAATGTACATGGTTTTATGTGAAAACATTTACCTTTCACAAGACTGGAGACGCTGTTAGCAGCAAAGCTTCAGTCAACTGATTCATAACTTTAGAATCAGACCATCGACTTGTTCATGT